TCGCAGCGGCATTTCCGCCGAACAACCAATAAAGGATCCCGGCAATTCGGTTATGGGCCTTGGTCTCTCCTGGGCAGAATTCTCACCATATCCTCCGACTACCAGCTTCCAACTCGACTTGCTCGCGTTCGGGGCCGTACATCTTCTCATCCAAATGCGGCCACGATGACTTCTATTGAGAGCAACGGTCCTCTGATAGCGGGCATCACATGGTTTCTCTGCTTCTTCTGTGGCGCCTTCCTGGCGTTACGAGTGTACGCGAAGCTAAGCAGGGGACAGAAGCTGTGGTGGGATGACTACATCTTTCTTTTCTCGTGGGTACGTATATGAATTCTTAACGAGGTATCTGTTTGTCTGACTATCTGACAACTAAACTGACGGTGGCTTGCAGACTTGTCTCTTTGTTGAATCGATCATCACCCAAATGGGCGTCAACTTGGGTTTCGGCCGTCACTATTACGACATCATTCCCCAGGCCAATCTCCTAACGATCGCCATGTATACTTCAGTAGGCGCATCAATATCGTGCTTTGCTTCGACTGGTAGCAAAGTTGGGTTTGGTGTAACCCTCCTTCGGCTCACGACGGGCTGGTTCAGGATATTTGTGTGGTTCGCCGTCGTGACATTGACGGTGGTCATGCTTCCCAGTGCGACCTTGACATGGCTGAAGTGCACCCCGGTGCAAAAGAACTTCAACAGACAGATGCCAGGGACCTGCTGGGATGAGTCTGTGACGCTCAACTACGGCATCTTTAACGCGGCTTGGTGCGCGTTCATGGACTTTGTGTTGGCGATAATCCCCTGGAAGCTCATCTGGGGGATGCGGTTGAGAAAACACGAGAAGCTAGGCGTTTGCTTTGCGATGAGCCTAGGCTGGTTGTATGTTTTTGTTCTCAAGCCGTCGTACTATCTTACCTCATGCTGACTTATCACCACAGGGCAGGCGTATGCGCCATTATCAAGGGCATATATCTTGTTCAACTAGAACAAGGTGACTTTTTCTGTGAGTTGACTAGTTGCTCTTGCATTTGGCTTTTGTCATCTTTCTAATATTTGCACCCAAGTCAACGGAAAGGACGTAACTATCTGGACCGCTGTGGAAACGGCCACAGCAATAATTGGATCATCGATTCCGGTCTTACGAGTCTTTATCAAAGAAAAGGCATCTACCCTTGGCTACGACAACAAAGTCAACCACGATGATAGCAACGAAAATTCAAACAACATGGAGCTCAACACGTATCGGAGCGTGATTACCTCTACAACGCGGAAGGGTACTCTATCGACGACGGAAGAGACCGATTTGGATGGCGCACGGAATCTCCCACGGAGCGGAAGCTGTCTTTTGGTGGACATACCAGACTTCAAGCTTGAGGGAATTGTGCGAGCTCGGAGCGTGGATGAAGAAAGTCAAGGCGGGTCAGACGATGATCAGAAGTTTAGTAATCATGATCGGGTCGACCACAATGTCCATAGCCAGGAACAAATCAGGTATGTTGGCCCTATATGGCGTGTATACTTTTGCTAACCCTTTCCAGGGACGAGCGGGAGTTTTATGGAAGAGCGCTCTGATCAAGTCGTTCTACTGAGAATGGGAGCCAGAAGCATTGCGCGTAAGAAGACAATTACGCGAAGGGGGGAATTACTGACTCTTGTGTACTAATGTTTTTTGAATGAGAGCAAAGACCTCTGATGTCGAAGGCTTGATGATACCTGGAGTATTTCCACTCCGCTATAAAGTAATGACAGTAATGAGAATCATGAAGTAATCTTACGAGTTGATACCATCGTTCTCTAAATTGACCATGCTGTTTTTTTAAGGATTTAGCCACAAAGAGTTTAGATGTGCCAAAGAATAAATTGTATGATACTTTATGCAACGGCATTCTAAGATTCCTATGGTCACCGGTATATGGCGTCATATGCCGTTGACGATTTTTCCGGAACGGTCATGAAAGGATCTGCAACAACCGCCTTCTTGATCTCATCCTCCGAGACCTCCTGCTTGAGAAGCCATCCGAGGCCTCTGAAGATGTCAAGGTTTGCCTTGAACGCGGATTTGACACCAGGGAATATGAAATGTCCATGCGGAGCGCCGGGATACACATCTAACCGGGTTTCAACCCCGTGTGCTCTGAGAGCTTTCTCGTAAACCAGCCCGTCATCCCGGAGGAAGTCCAGACCTCCAACCTGCACAACTGTTCGTGGCATTCCGACATGGGGATTCTTCGAGTTGAAAGGCGAATAATCCACTGATTTGATGTCTGCCTTGTAATTGGCAGCAAGATAACCCCAGGCTGCTTTACTGAAGATCGGAGCCTCGGCGTTCTGCTCTCTTGCGAGGAAGATGTCTTTGTACTTTGGAGGCACTATGTCGTCCTCGAGGAAGAGCGGAGCCAGGAGCCAGACACCGGTGAGAGGAGCTCCGAGCTTCGTCGCGCCATCAACCATCTTCTGTGCCATGACGGCCGCAAGGTTTGCGCCAGCAGATGGGCCTCCGATAACGAAGCCTGCGCTCAAGTCGCCACCTAGGGTGTGCGCATTCTCAGAAACCCACTTGAGCCCATCTTCAACATCATTGGGGGCCGCGGGGAAAGGGTGTGTGGGTGCCAGACGATAGGAAAGGTTGATGACAGTGGCATTGAAGAGCTTTCTGGCGATTCTGGCCCAGGGGCTCATTTGGTGACAGTCACCCATTGTGAAGGCGCCTCCATAGATGAGAACGATGACTGGGGACTTTGCGCCTGTTGACGTGGAGGGCTTGTGGACGCGGGCTTCTTGTTGGCGGCCCCCATCGCGCATTGGGATTTGGATAGTGTACTCGAATTCCGTGTCTGGGGCTGGGGGAGCTGACTCTGGCAAGGGATGCCCACCTGCCAGGTACTGGAGTATGGTTAGTGGCCGAGTCAGTTCATGCCAACGAGCCTTGACTAACCTCTGCGATCTCTGGACTTCAACGAGGGTCAGTCCACTTTGTTCCAGACTTTTGAAATTTCGCTTGCGGTTGATACTCACTCGATGACGCTCAAGGCAGCGAGCTTCTCTTTTGTGTCAAACTCCATCTTGTCCACAGACGTCTTGTTCTCAAGAGAGCCCATTGATACAGTCTATTGCCTGAGCAAAAGTGCAAGTGTTGGAAATGTGTGGGATAGCGGTGCGCACGAGGGAAAAAAATTTGGATTAAGAAAATCTTCCAACAGCGAGCGGCCACTGTCAATTTAAAGCAAAGCCGCATTCGTTATCTGATGTGACGGAATCTGGTTCCAACAGAGCTAAAAGATTACATGTTTGTCTAGTCCCAACGGCAGCGCTACTATCGGACTTGGTCTCCGCACCCCGATTGTCCGAGGGACCACAATGTGTTCGCTTCGATGGTCATTATTGATCTGCTCATGGGTAAAAAGCAAATCCAGCAAATGAAACGAATCCCCCCGCGGAAAGCCCCTCTTCTAGTGCAACGAGGCATCCCACGTCAGCACAATAACCATGCGAATTTTCGGTGTTTGGCCAACGAAAAGTCCCTTTTGGCAAACCCAGCCCGACGGTCTGGCTGCAAATGATGTTACATTGAAGATGCGCGTGCGAGGCCCAGTTCGGAGAAAGCAAGTCTTGGCGATGTTTGTGTCCCACAAATACCATTCATACCGAGCAAACGCTCCTCTTCGAGACCATACCTCCAAACATTTGACCAAGTCGAGCCTCTTATCTGTGATACTCTCGGATGGGAAATCTCAAGCACAGTCTTTTCTACCTTAGAATAACTTACTGCATGTGTTCAATTAAGTATCTAGTGCGGACATTTCCTCAGCTGAGGAGAACCTTGGCCCGATTGAAAATTTCCTTGATCAGGATACCTTGTCTGCGGTGAAGCCCTCCTTTGTCGTGTTCTTTGACCCGAGAACACAGAAATTGTCTTAAAAAGACTTTTTAGAAAAGGTTTGAAGGAGACAACTCGGAAAGACTGATTCAGCCTAGGTGCTCTAGGTCACTGTCCTGTTTCAGAAGAGGCAGTTGACAATGGCTTAGTCCAAGGTGTCAGACTGATCTAAGGAACAAGACTTCTTCGCACCCAAGAGTGCTGGTGAAAGACGACAGGCAACATCAACTTGCCGACTGAAAACGATAAAAGTGCCACTATGGACTGGCTCTTGAAGCTTCCTGCAACTCATTCTCAACTCAACATTCTAACGCAACACTCTCAACTTCAACTCAACGCTCCACAAGGATTCTTCATCTGACATTAGCAGCTTCAAGCATCGATCGAACTAACAGACTCACAACTCAGTTTACATCGCAGCCATGTGCAACTACATCCTCAACGTCACCAAGTGCCGCCAGTGCGGCCGCACTATCAGCTCGTCCCAGTCCGACTTCGTCTACTGCCCGTCATACAGAAACGGCATTAGATGCCAGACCATTCAGCGCGACTGCCGCACTCAACTGGTCTGCTGCTCTAGTTGCCAGAGGGCCTACCACCTTGAACCTACTGTCAATGGCTCTAATATATTCCCTGATAAGGAGTATGGTTCCGACTCTGAGGATGGCTTTGCTCCATCTCAGTAGTGGAAATAGGTTGCGACGGTAAGTAGACTGATCTACGGTTTTCGAGAACTCTTTTCATAAGTTGTTGGCAAGCGGGTGCGATTTTACGTTCCAAGTTTAGTATCAGTCTTCTGCGCAGCTAGAATTAAACTTCTCTTCGCGAACTCAATCAGCAGATGTGAACTTGTAGGTCCAGATTCACCGTCTATGTTTCCAATCATGCAGCCAGTGATACGTGTATAGTGATTGTACAGGGGATTTACTGCATTATTTATGTAACTGGGCCCTTAGTCCACTTCGAAACTTCACAGATCCCAAATTTTCTATCAATCGAGTTGTTCGTCTTTTGGCTGATCAACTTTCATAAGTGGTAAATGTGATCTTTTGTAGTTTGACACCACTCTGCCATCAAAAACCAGATGTGAACATAAACCTTCTCTCATGGTTTCTATGGAATATTAAATGGGCAGCGTCGCATTAACCTGGAGGCAAGTTCCCAGTCTACCCCCCTCCAGCCTCGATGTCGCATTAACAACATACTCCTGCAGCGGCGACGTGCCGCACTTGAGGCCCAACACGAAAGCCCCAGCAAACGAATCCGCCAGCTTCGGCGACATGTGCACGGCATCCATGGGATAACCCTCGACAGCCGCCTGCTGGCCCTGCACCTGAAGGGCCTGGGCGCTGTAGTTGCCGTGCGGAACGTAGTAGATACCGGCTGCGGGTCCGCCGAGGGATTCGACGACGTACCACGAGTACCACGCGTAGATGGTCGGCGTCCAAGAGAATGTGCCGGTCGAGTAAGGGTTTATGGGGGTTGAGGTTGAGATCACCACGCGGGCGCCGAGGGAGAGGAAAGTTGAGGAGGCATTGCGAAGGTAGGTAGTGTATGTCTGCACTACTTCCGTTTGGTTGCTAAAGACACATAGTTAGATCGTCATCATTAGGGAGAAACATGACGTTCTCAATATCTATGGACGTACTTGAAAAGCACAGGACAGACATTTTCTCCAATGCCGGGACAGTCGACTCGGTTCTTGACTGTGTCGTTGATCGGGTTGCCAGCTAGAAGTCTGTCAGAGTTTTCATACTTGGAGAGTTAGGATCGATGCAGTTCAGATACGTACGTCCATCGTTGTGACCAAACTCAATCACAACCCAGTCCCCAGCCTTGACTTCGTCAATGATCCGCTGGAACCGGCCCTCCCTCGTAAAAGTGCGCGCGCTTCTCCCAGCATACGCAGAGTTATTGACTCGGATCTTTGACGAGTCGAGAGAATAATGCAGGTACTCTCCCCATCCCTGGGTCCCGTTGTGTCCACCGCCCGGTGCCATCGTGCTGTCGCCAGCAAGCCAGAGTACCTGTCGGTCGTCGATATCGGAACGCTCCGTGGGTGCTGCGAGCGCTGAACCAGCTCCCAGAAGGAGGGAAACTGCAGAAAACTTCATGGTCGACTTATTCTCGTCCAGACGGAGAGGGCTATGTTGGTAGAGACAGGCGCGAGGTCTTTCGAGCTGTCTCACCAAGCAAGGTCACGAAGGCATAGCTTCATTTTATTATTCCTCTTCCCATGGCGAGGGTGTCATTGACAGCGGATCTCGGCATCTAGAGCTATCCAGCGTGCCAGGGATGCCATCCTGTCTCCCCGCACCAGACTGAACTGACAAGCCCAAAAGCTGGGCATTTCCCCGCGTAAACCAGGGGTCATTTCGAGGCAAAGGACACAACGGCGGGACCGCTAAGCTAGATGAATACTGAAAACCCGTTGCTCAATTTGCGCACGAGTGGGAAAGCGATTGAATAGCGTCTGTTGAAGCGCTCCTTATTCGTGGGAAGAAGGTGGGTGGTTTTTGATTCGGGCCAACAGGGGCCGAGTCTACCATTGAGTAGGCTTTCGGTTGACCGTTTGCCGAGTGAACCCGGGCAGATGGATCTTGACTCCGTGAGGAGATGATCGGGGTAAGGGTCCGTCTGATCCGGGGTCAATTAGTTCCGCTGCACCCGGAGCTGCTTAGATTGTTTGTGCTTCATTTGATAAGAGGCGCTTCATACTCATTCATCTAAATGTTTCGTGAGCTCATCTCACTCAGATCTCACACTGAGTGAGATGAGCTCAGAGCGACCACTACTGGTGTAGGATGCAGAGTCTGAACGTGCGATTAACTACCTTGCGAAATACATCGTGATAAATCACTGCCAAACATAAGAACCCAGAGTACATGTATTATAGCCTCCGAGGCAATCCAGAAACTACAAGCTGATGACAAAGTATTGAACTGCTTAGAGTATCGCGGGGTCGGATCCGGTCCTGTTGCTTTGACCTCAATTGAAGCGCCCTCGGATCCATTTGACAGCTTCAGTGTGACGCGGCCCGATCTTGAAAGATGAGCTGCTTGACAGATTGCGACATGCGGAAAGCGGATAGCTATCTAGTTCAGTGCCGTCCGATTGCGAGTCCGACTATCGATTCCAAATGGTTGATTATCGTCTCTTAAGATGGACTGGAGCATATCGCGATCTCCAGTTCTTACTGCCACAGGCTTTTTCATGAGGCAATATTACCCTATTAGTATTTTGACATCATGCTACCTTCCGAGTGAATATCTTTATCAACGACGACATCAAACCCGAATCTTTGGGTCTAGACGCACAAAGTGAAGTCGTACGGGACTGGCCGTCATAGGAAAGACTGAGGATCTTGAAATGGCATTGGTACGATTACCTGTTTGGGCATTGAGCTCGTGCTTTGACTCGGGTGCCCCTCGGACGTGTTCCCGGTGTGGGGGGCAAACATTGACTTTTGCCATGACAGGATTGAAACCCGGCGCATTCGGTTGCGGGGGTCTCTGAGGGTCTCATTTATGCCGGGGGAAGATGCCGGCCGGGGGACCGAACACGATGCGAACATTTATTTTGAAGTGGGTAATAAACACGAACATGAGATTGAGCCCATGAGCGCACCGAGCCGGACTCGAGTGTGTGACTGAAAATGGTGTAGAATGAGATCATCTAGCATGTTCGGATAGACGAGAAGGCATCGTCCGTTGAGCTTTGTGCTAGAGATGTGGAATAGCTTCTAATCCTCGCACTGCAGAAGAAGCTTAGCTAAAGTGAGTTTACTCAGCCACAATAGGTTAGTTTCCCCAGCCAAGGCCAGTAGTTTTCCACAGTCTAAGGGAGCTGGATGTGATGAGGCATCCAATCATTTCAGATAACGGACGAAACTTGTGTGAGAAGGCATTGAATGACACGTACCCTGCTTGATACATGCAAGTAATGGGAAGCTGATGTGGGCTGAGCTGAGCCTGCATATGCTCTGCTATGCCTCGGGAATACCACTAGCGCACATGCCATACATGACAATGGGAAGAGAGCCGTGGCAGGAGGCAATGCAGTATTCGTAAAATCAGATGCTTGGAAAGAGTCAAGTCAGATCTGGGAATCTGCACTGATGCAAGGTGCTGCAGATTGCCGAATAAGAAAGGAGGGTCGCCCAGACAAAGCCGACAGGGGCAGGGCAGAGACACTGGAGACACTGACACTTGACACGGCGACTCCCGCGGTCTGTTCACTGTTTCTATTCACAGAATCGACGTATGAAAGAGGACGTTGTTAAGATCTTTAAGTGGTGAATATTCCCCGCCCCTCCCCTACCTCTGCACGAATTCTGAAGAAAAACGAACCAGTGACATACTGTTAAGTCTCGTGACGTCACGTACCCGTGATCCACACAATTCAACCGGAGCACAGGTGACCGAACACGATCGCGGGGACCTTCCAGAAACGCAACATCTTTTTGACCTCAGCTGGAAGCCGCGACCACTTGGCTCCTGCCTCCGTACGGAAATAATCCACATCGTCGACTTGGATTGTCGACCAAGTATCTTCAACAATTCTTCCGTTGCTGCTTCAACTCACCACATTATCGACATCTTCAGGAGCACACAAGAGTCGGAGGAAGCTCCAGCGATAGACAGCCCTGGGCATATCGCCATTGTGAATTCCCGTCATGGCGACCCAACAGCCCTCAGGCCTCACTGCCGAGCAGATCAAGGCTCTGTTCAATATCCTCACCCATTTCGAGACCTACCACGAGATCGAAGACTTCAAGAAGCCAGAGACCATTTCCGACTATGGCTACCCTTTTGCGCAGAGCTCCAAGCCCGGCGAGGCCGTCACCTATGCCCCAGAGTCCTCGGCACCCCTCCTACAGTCTCTCTTCACCAGATTTATCCTGAAGCTACCGGGCGTCTCCTCCTTTGTTCCCGAGTTTTGGAACGTCCGAGTTCAGGGAATCCTTAAGAACTTTGCCGAGGCCGAGCTGTCCGAGAGCTACGAGAAGGGCGCGCTGGGTACTAGAAAGACCCTGGCGACCGCCTCATCCACTGTTATCGAGACAGTCGCGCGTGGCATGATTGGTGGCGGACCCTATAGCGACCCCTCGACGCGGCTTGAGCAGTACGATCTGAACAGAGCGGAAGACCTGGCGCAGGCCTGGGATGATGCTATGCATGACCTCGTTTACGGGGACCTCTGCGACAGCTTACTTGACCACCTTGCCGAGACGGACGACTTCGAATCACACTCTCCAATGACCCAGGCGGCGAACGAGTACATCATTTTCCAGTGAGTATTGCTCTGTGCGAAGGCGACTTGGAGAAGTTAGAGTGACTAACACGGACTTACAGCTTGGCTGGACTTGCCCACCAAGTGCTGGTTGTCTCACCTGAGGGCCAGTACCTCGTCAAGCTTATGGAGCAAGTTCACAAGATGGTGCCATACAACATGGTACGGCAGACACTCAAGGTCGGCAATGCTGCGACAATGATCGCTGGCATGATGAAAATCTTTCTGGCCAAACTCAGTGTCGGTTCGGTTTCGAACTGGTTTGGCATAACAAAGGATGCTGCAGATGGCATGAATCTTATGCAGAGGTTCGAATTCCTTGAGCTGAGGCCCTCCTACCTAGATAAACATTAAGACTAACAAAGCTGCAGGATCATCTCTGTCATCCTCGGCTGGGACTGCGCAGATTTCAAGAAGACGATCGACAGAATCGCCAAAGACAAGAACAGGCCAAGTAAAGGCGCTCTAGATGCCATCAAGGCTCACACTCAATCCCCTCCGACCGAACGCGAAGTGATCCGAGCCATGAGCGCGCAACAAGACAAGTCCATCATCGCCGTCATCCTCGAGACCGCAAACCCCATCCTACTTTCCGACCTCAGCGAGGACGAGCACACAATGTGCTTAGAATACTACGCAGCACTACTGGCTATGCGCGATCGGGAGGAAATCATCAGCATTCTTTGCAGGCAGAGCCCGGACTACCTCACCCAGGCAGTCCGCGAGGCAGTAGCCGGGATGGATCCCATTATCCGCGCCGTACACAACAAGGTCGACCTCTCAGACCATGTCAGGGACTACCACATGTTCCTCGACCAGCTGATCGCCTGCAGCAAACCAAAGAAGGGGAAGAACAAGGATGATACGGAGACTATGCCCACGGTGGAGGACTACGTCAAGCTGTGCAAGGACAATAAGCATCTCTTGTACAAGTGGCTGCACGCTGTGGGCGGCAAATGCCCAGAAGTCATGGATCAGTTCAGGGAGTGGGCAAAGAACTCCCTGGTTGCGTTCCATAAGACTAAGAATGGCGGGGCGAGCATCGAGGAGCAGCTGGGTGACATGTTCAACCAGGTTCCCGATAACAGCAGAGCGGCCCTCCTTCCCATCATCGACGCTCACGCTGCATACCTACGGGACCTAGAACAACTGTCCTTGACGCGCATGCAGACCATCATCGAGGGCAACTCGACGAGTATGGCTGGCCCGGGTGTCTACTTGGTACGGTGGCAGAACTTGATGGATGATACCCTCATTACGCCTGTGAGGCCCGTCGGTCCGGTGCGGTTGGGCAAAGACGTCAAGGGGCTGGCGCCGACACAAGGCAAGCGGGGTTCTGCTTCAAGTGATGCTGGCGAGATCATTGCGGCCGTCCGCGACATGAACCTGTCTTCTTTACCCGAAGCGCCAGATGTGCAGGCGGTTATCCAGGCGCTGGGGCCTAGGTTCAAGCAGATGCTCACCATAGCATCCAGAGCCAATGGTCCTCCGACGAACGGCACGGCCAACGGACATGCTTCACCTGTTTGAAGTTGGACGGACTGTCGACCAGTAGTATGACATGTTTCCTAGGATTTCTTTTTCGGGCTTTGGGGGTGGATTAGCATGGTATCACATAGTGACTACTACAAACGACTTGCATGAGAACATGGATCGATGGCTTCTAGGGATTGGCCTGGCGTTTGGAAGGAATGAGGATTGGTTTTGGCCTTGGACAAAGGCTGCATCGAAAGACAGGCGGGATACCTGCTGTAGAGCCGAGCATAGACATTGATCACAGATGTCGTGAAGTAAACCGTGTATCGCGATGCTCCGTGAGATTTGCCGGACTGGAAAGTATGTTCAACAGATAAAGAGTTTTGCCATATGCGGTCGAAGCTTATCCCAGTCCTCAATGAAGGTGTGAACAAGTGTCCGCATCTCGCCATTAGTCGAACTTCAATTTATCCATAGGTCTGGGACTGCGTCATTATGCCGGTCTCTGGGATAGCCTCTCTTCCCACCCATGTTTCTCTTCGCACTTGCCGTGCACCCACACACAGTTGACAACGTACAGGCAGATCCTCTTGGCAAGAACGTTGCGGCAATCAACGGCAAGCAAATGTCAGCAAACAAGCATCCCGTCATCCCCAAGGCGCAGCGGCAAAAGTTTGCCGCCAGGCCATACCAAGTCAGGTAGCTCGTCGAGATCATCTTGCGTAGCTAACCGATTTGCCCCAAGCTCATCCCTGTCTAGCGCCGGCAAGGCGGCGCACGAGGGGATGTTTAGACGAATAATGCGCCGTCAGCTCGCTTCAAATATCCCTCACTCATTTCGCTTTCGTCAAAAGTTGCCCTAGTATCGGTTGCCTCCCTGGTCGGGCCCGACTGGACTTTCCCTCCCTTTGAAGCTTACCCGCCTCAACTTTCCCTGCCTTATTATCCCACATCCTCGTCTTAATTCTTTTTGATATTCCAGGACAACTCTCATAGTTCAGAACACTCAACGCAGCATCGGACGCTCGCGGAGATAGTTCATACCTCCAGTTCATCAAGATAATCCATCTCATAATGTCTACAACCACTACCACAACCCACCGTGCCCCGAGCACAGGCATCGACCTCGCCAACCTCTCCCCCAACAACGACCCAGAATCCCGCTCCTTCTCCTCCTCCGAGATCAACGACCCCTACAACCTTGGCACACACATCAAATCCGACGCCGACATAGTCCAACTAAAATCTGCATACAACACAGACAAGCCTCGAAACAATAGCAACACCACGCGAAGACGCTTCATCCACCATAGCTTCACCCGCGGCGGCGCCAAAGACGCAAAGCTGCAAGACTTTTATCGCGCCCAAAACGACAAGATCCGCTCCTATCTCAAGAGCGTAGACGACCACGAGCGGGAGGCAAAGGAGACGCAGGGCGACAATAACCTCAAGTATCAGATCGCGGTGAAGGGCAGCTTGGCGGCCAATGTCGTTCTCTCGGCGCTGCAGCTTTATGCTGCGATAACGTCTGGCTCGCTGTCGTTGTTCACCACGATGGCTGATTCTGTCTTTGATCCGCTGTCTGGTGTTCTGCTACTGCTCTCTCATCGGGCGGTGAAGAAGGTTGATACGCAAAAGTACCCTTCTGGCAAATCACGCATCTCTACCGCGGGGAATATCGTCTTCTCTTTCATCATGTTCTCCGTCTCGCTGGTGCTGATTGTCATGTCGGCGCGGGACTTGGCTGCTGGATCTGAGGAGGAGACGAACGAGTTCCACTTCACTTCCGTCATCGCCGTCGCAATTGCATTTGGCACGAAGTTTTGTCTGTGGCTGTACTGCTGGTCCATCAAGGACATTTACTCCCAGGTCGAGATTCTGTGGCGCGACCACCGCAACGATCTCTTCATCAACGGATTCGGTATCTTTACCTTCTCGGCTGGCAGCAAGATTAAGTGGTGGATTGATCCCATGGGCGCCATTCTGTTGTCGTTTTTGATTGCAGGGTTGTGGTTGAGGACTGCGTATGAGGAGTTTCAGTTGTTGATTGGAGTATCTGCTGAACCTGAGTTCTTGCAACTCATCACTTATATCGGTAAGCTGGCCTCAACTCTTAGTGAACAAAATTTGAGGATGAGAACCTAACAGGGTCATACGTTAGCCATGACTCATTCGCCTGAAGTCAAGCAGATTGACACCGTGCGCGCGTATCACAGCGGACCGCGATACATCGTTGAGATTGATGTTGTCATGGACCGCCATGAGAGACTTGAGATTGCACACGATGTAGCAGAGGCTCTTCAGATCAAGATTGAGAAGTTGCCTGGAGTAGAGAGGGCATTTGTTCATGTTGACTATGAGACGGATCATAAGCCTGTAAGTCTCCCGTCGTCTACCTACATAGAAGTTGATGGAAATGGCTGTGACGCTTTGCCGCTATTTTCAACTGACTCTAGGAATGACAGGAACATGACTTGAAAAAGGACCTCTGAAAGCTCTGAGTTCAAGTTTGATGCGTTGGGACATTGTGGTAGGCTTGGATCAAAGATTATGTTTAGATAAGGTGTCGGCGAAAACGTGCGGCATGAAATGCGTTTTACCAGGCTAGCATTATTACGCTTTTGCGAGATTCTCCAAACAATTTAGCGTGACATGGGCCTCTGGTCAAATTAGCACGAGAACTAAGTGGCTCCCTTAATAAAAGGTGTATGGAAAAATGTTGAGCTATATAATAATCACTTCAATGCCTTGGCTAACGTGTGACTGGGCTTTCAACAACGTCCTCTACGTCATGCCTAGATCAAAAAGTCTCTCCAGACCTGCGCCCATTTTGCAAAGTAAGACAACTGATCTAGGCTTGCTAAGCCTGGTCTGTGAATCCCACCCTCCGAAACTTGCCTCCGTCGTCGGAAAGCGAAATCTTCGGCACCTCTGGAAAGGTCTGACGAAAAGATGGCAAGGAAGGTGCCCAATATGAATCGTCTATCTGAGTTTTTCGGACTTTATCAGCAAACACTGATAGTTCTAGAACCAGATCGTCGCAGCTAATCCTTGCTTTTCTTTCACAAATGAGTACTTTCTCTTTTAGGAGGCACAGAAAGTCCGAGATGAAGTTTGGCCCAACGTCGATCGAAGACTCTCTCGAGAGCTCATCAAGGCACTTAAGCAATGTATGTCAGTATGTCTTGATTCGCATACGCTCACGCAATAAACTAGGGCCATTGTCCTTCGTGAAAACGTTTTGGGGAGGGAGAGGGGAGGGAGGTAAAAGATGAACAACGTCTTACTTTAACCACGGATCTCTTCAGCGATGTCTTGACCCCACCGCCCTTGTATCTTTTTGCAGTAAAGAAATTGTCCGAGTAAAATCCAACATCTTTCTTCAAAGCAGTGTCCCAGTCTCTTTCTTTGGCCCGGTCATCCGCAAACTTTGTGGTAGCAGATGGTCCACGAACTACCCAAGTCAAAAATTCGGAGAAGACGCAGCCAAGCGCCCAAACATCCGCCTTCCTAGAGTATGAGCCTCCCAGCTGTGAAAGTTCGGGGGCTTCATAGGTCGGAGCGAGGCGCCGGCCTTCGGGGCTGGGTTTGTAAGTCCGCGACCGTGACGTGAGCTTATGAAATTCAGTGAGACCAAAGTCGGCGATCTTCAGAGTGCCAATGCCCGATCTTCTTTGGCGATAATCAAAGAGTAATATGTTCTCGGGTTTTATGTCACCATGGATTCCGAACACGTCACTATCGGTTTCCTCATCCTTCGATATCCTCTTTGCCCGAATCAGTGCCTTGACACGAACATCGTGAATACTTTGCAGAGCAGCCGCCAGCGCGTGGCATTGTTCAGCCATCCAGCGAAGGAGGATTTGAGGTTGGCAAAAGCTCTGCTGTATCTCCCTCGGAGATTCGGTCCAGAACTGTCTTAAATTGCCGCCTTCAGCCCACGGGGACAAGAACGAGTACTCGGTGCCGATCTTGAAGGTCGCGCAAAGTTTTAGGATGTGTTCTCCGGGTTCCATCTTGGTCAAAGCCTTGAGCTCTTGCTCAAACTCCTGTTCCGCCTGCTCAGGATCTTCTTGAAGCAGGGTTTTGAGCGCAAAGGCTTTGTGCTCACGCTGCATTGAATAAATCTTAGCTTTAGGACGGATTACGAGAAGTGTTTCGCCTGTAAAGCAGGATACGTACGAACGGATGATGACTATCGTGAATCTCAACCCTGCGGACTCTGGAGAAGCCTGATGTCTTTTCGATTCCAATGGACGTCCAAGGCATGATAACTTCCGAAGCCAGGTGGAAGGTCGTCACCTCATTGTATTCGTCCAGGCTTATCAAAGGAGTGAGTATCATCCACTGGTTGAGATAAAACTCTCGAGACACCGCGATTCCAGCTTTTTCGAAACAAGGAAGGTGCCCGTCGGCAAAGTCGGATCTCGCACTGATGAGGTGATCCCGAGAAGCAGGATCAGCCCATTCGAAAGGAAGATCTTTGTCACGCAAGCCGTCCGTAACCAGCGCTGGCAGAATTTCGAGTCGGCGAATCAAAACCAAAATTACGAATATTCGTTGACTAGTATCGCCTCCCTTGCAATGCTGCGCCTGAACTCCGCAAACATAATTTGTAAGCCTTGCTGCTTCTATGTCGGAAAATTGCTTTCGCAGCTCGGAATTGACGCGACTGCGCTGACTGAACGTTCGCAATTTGTCGAAGGAAAGCCAAGGACCTGAGGAGCCGTTCTTAGTCGATTGCATGCCTCGATGTATCTCATCAATCATGCATGTCGCTGGTCCAATTTGGACCTCATCATCTTCGGGCGGAGACTGGTTTGGTAGATCCATGCCGTAGTGGTGATTGTCAATTCTGCTCGACGTGACTGAGATATCCGATGGCCTGCTTACAACTCTAGGCGGGGGATCGCCATTGCCGTAGAGCTCTGGTACTCGTCTTGTCTTCTCTCCGAATAATTCAGAGAATTCGATAAGAAATTCCTTTAACATTTATGTCAGTTCGAGCACCAGCGACCGGGAAAAAATGTATCTGGGATTGAGGCGAATGCACTTACTCCAATGTTAGACGTCATCCTGACAGTTCAAAGTCACTCAATCACTCAGAGCGCAGGAAGAATTCCGCGGCGAGAGTTTTGTGAAGTACCTCCCGATAAAAGGTCACGATTGGCTCCCCAAAAATAAATGATTCTTCGCGAAATGATGGCTGATAGAGTAAGAGGGATTGGGAGGTCTGCCAGGCTGCGTGTGAGTCAAGTAATACTGCGCATATGGAGGGCCGCATGAGTGAATACGTTACTGTTGGCATGACTCCAATTAAGTCAATTAAATGGCCAGGAATTGTGTACTTGAGATGGGCTGCCTCTTCATGCTTGTGATACACGAGCAAGGCTTTACAGGAGTGTCTCGTACTACCTCGCCTGCGCCCTGGTAGCATGGCGCACATGGAGCGGGCTTGGGTTGCCTTGGGTTGCCTTGGGCTGCCTTGGGCTGCCTAAAGCTGCCGTTCAGCGCCTCGATTCGCCTTGTTGCTCGCTCCGAAGACTTATCTGGTTCGCTTTCTGACAAATGACAGGCAACAGCCATGATCAGACTGCATAAATACTGCACGCCAGCAAGCCCCCCGCCCGGCCGGAGCCCATTCTTCCAACTTACGCCTGATTCCTCGACACCGCATCTTTCTCGAACCCGGTGAAGAAACTTTCAGAACATGGATGCTTCAGGAAGATACCCACTGGTCTCTACAGAGAGATTGCCGGCGCCAGTCTGCCATTCATGGCCAGGCCGCCGCTTCACGGCAAAGATTCCAGGACGCTTTGTGAATGCTGCAAAGCTGGAGCAATTCCTCGATCAGAAATTTGACGAATACTACACTGTAGAGGTATGCCACATTCTGCCCCCAAAGTTTCCACCAAACAATAAGGCAAAGTAATAACATGCAAATGATAGATGCGTAACAACTCCTACAGCGTAACGACGCCTTATCAACTGACAGCGGAAGAAATAAAAAGGAATTGCTAAGAACTGCAGGATCTTGGCTTGAATTGGATTACAGAACTATTGATATCGTGGGCCTGGGCAGGCGGTCTGTTTCTTCTCGGTTCTGTGGAAGCGAAATAAATGTTAGTGGTGATCATATGTACAAGTACTTTGCATGTATCAGGAACACTGGAATGATCCTTTGTAAGACAAACTCCGGGACTCTTTTTCAAACAATACTATGAACGGCTTTGTGCAGATGATGCACAAGTCATTACATCAGCTTCTAGTCCTGCCCTTGTCCGGACTCCGAATTTCGTAGGACGGGCGGGCTTGGTTTGAGTGAAAAGAGAGGAGGGAAAAGTCAAAGGAAATATAGGAAAAACATCTCTAGTTCTAGTATTCTTGACAACTTCTGGTGAAAGTTCTTGCATGAGTTCATGTCGTTTCTACTTTCTAGGGGGTGGTACGATAAGTTAGTTACAAGACTATTTGTACACAACCGGCTTTCGCCTATCCGGGCCGAAAATGAAATCCTTCAGATCTCTCCAACCCGTCTCTATTGGCGGTGAGGGTCTACGTATCCGCTTCATCTGCCTCGATATGAATGGCCTCTCATGGTAATCTTTACTGAGTTAATTTCGCTCTGTGAACGTTTTTGAGGTTAATTTGTTTTCTCGGCTTAGCCAAATGATACCTCTGCTCACCTGGGTCAATTCTCTCGAAGTTTTGAAGAACCATTGCTGGTCAACATACTGTGTGGATGTTAGTCGATAGAACCTCACTGAACTGGATCAGAAAACGAACTTTGTCAACTGTAAAGTTGTTCTCCCCAAGTAAATCTGACAGGGCCCTGCTAAGCCGTTCTCGACTGCCATACTGGATTGGTAGAATATGAGTGTGCATGATGGTTGGAGGTGGTCGCATCTGACAAGTTGACTAGGAAGTAGTACAAATCTCTACTAGGAGATGAATTCTCTGCTAATTTTATGTTCGACCTTCTTATCATCCTGGCCTTAAGTGTCTTGACATGCGGGTCGACCGTCGAGAATGAGTCAAACTACCTTACACCGAAATGCCCATCGTCCAGTAGGCGAAGCGATGAGCATCATGCCACTATCCCAGTACATAAGCGAGGCTATCCCTAGGCCGAGTCAATATCCGAAAGATGCATTGCATATGCAGGCTGTCGTACGGTCTCGAACCTTTTGAGAGCATTTGGTCCTCCATCATCGGACTATCGGCTCAGCCGACGATGCATGAAGAAGGTGGGCGCATCCGCATATCGCGGCGACCAGTTTTCCAAAAGAAGCAATACAGCACTCAATTCTCGTAGATGCCTGCCTATCGACGCATCACTTGCGCAGGTGGCTTCAGGTCAAGGATTTGGCCGGTCATTCAGCCAGTCATGGCACTTTACGAGCGGGGTAAGGCTCTTTCATGACTTGGCATTGGTGAGTTGTCACTTTGGAGGCATCCTACAGGCGTTCTCGGACATATCTTCACAAGTCAGAATGATGGCCTTCCAAGCACTATGTTAGTGATGGAATTCTTTCCGCTTCAGACATATCTTAACTTCAGAACCTTCTATCAAGCCAGTGCTTATCTTTGAAGTTCCGCGCCCGATCTTGCAGAGTAAACTCGCATCAAAGAAGCATTGAGCCATATCAACGCAAGCACTGTCCATCGTTTTAATCAAAGGTTCCATCTTGAACCTTTCTTATGCTTTTTCCGGACGGCCATGTCTTGGCTATGTAGAGACCCAAAGATCTTCGAGGAAGACCTGCATCTTCTCGAATTCAAGCCAAGAGACAGCCAAATATTCACAATTGAACGGCAAGACAACGTAAGGAGGATCCTGCAATAGACCGTTTTGCGACATTCTGACGTCAAAAAGGCCCCGGATCTCGTAGAGTGTTGGACTAAAACCACCTGCGCTGACTGGGAAACCTGGTTAGAGACGGTGAATACTGCATCGAAGCCCCAGTCTCCTTGTGCACAGCCCTGATATTCGTATTCTATGGGCAGGATCATTCTCAGCGCAAAGGCACCAATTCTAGCCGTATCAACCTTATTTTAGGTGGTCGGGCGAAATCACTTGGGGAGTATGATGCGTCTAGCCTTCTCATACTACCATGGTCACAGCAAGTATTTTTCGGGGTTCAGCAACGCTTCCTTGTCCATAGCGACTTCTTGAGGGCAATGAACCGCAATACGAGCTGTATCTTCTCTCAGATGAGCTTCGAATGGAATCTAGACCCTTTGAGAAAGAATTCTTTCGGTGCGTATGATCGATAACTGAGAAACAATCTCAATGTGTCTTAGGTAGTTGACCAAGAGCAGTGTACCTCTGCCGTACAGCAGCATCTTGGCTAGGAGACATGGCCTTATCCGTCACATATCTTCCCGACACCCTGACCACAAACGCCGTTTGGTTTGGATGCGATCTTGAGTCGCCGGACATGTACGACCCTAGTATGACCATGGCCGATATCATCCAAAGTCGATTGAGGAATTCGGATACTCTGGTATTTCATCCTATGATGCTGCCAACCATATTTGCCGATATCGAACGAGAGAGGCAGATTGAGCTCGTTCGGGATAAGCTCGCGGAGATGGGAGAGCGGATCGAGGTCATCACAAACATCAAGTACGCCACAAAAGTGAATCCCTTTGGTGAACACACGAAGACGGCCACAAGTCCGACAAAGAAGAGAAAAAAGCTCTCACGTTTATTCAGACGCCCTCGTTCGCAGCAAGGACTGAACCCTTCGCTTAGCTCGTCTACTGAGAATAGCAATACCGAGCGAACCTGTCGAAGCAATCCGCCGTTGACGACAGGAAACCCTACTGCTAAACTCTGGCAAGAGATCAGTCGCCTCAAAATAGGTCTGAGCAATTGGCAGAGGCAGCTGGTGAAAATGATCTCTTTCGTTGAGCATCTCAACCGTGTCGAGTACCCCCCTCAGAGATACAACGAACCCAAGCGGCTTCAGTTTCACAACACTGGGGAGAGAATTAGAGATAGGTTGCAGGAGCTGGTGGATGAGTATGACGAGTATATCAGAGAATGCTCACACATCATGGAGGGCTTCACTCTTGCAACTCAACTGGTGAGTTCATATCGATTGGTAGCTGACGCTCATCATCAAACTTTCTCTGACGTCCCGTGAATAGGAGATCAGCCAGATCAGTCGCTGTGATGCCCAGACGAATCAGGAAATCTCCCAGGTCAATCTAGAGGTTGCTCAAATGACGCGACGTGATGGGAGCATCATGAAGTCAATCGCTTTGCTAGGGATGGTCTTCCTCCCTGCTTCATTTGCCACAGTACGTACTTTGTTCAGTGTATTTCGTACTCGCGAACGACGATGTGACGGCTAAGAGCTGATCATCATCAGGCAGTCTTTTCCATGGGATTTTTCGACGTGCCGAAGGAGGCAGAAGACGGAGCAGTCTCAAGCCTTATCTGGAAATACATTGTGGTAGCATTGATGTTGACACTTTGCACCGTGGGTATCTTTTATTTGTGCATATCGAAGGGAAGGAAAGAGAAGACCACAAGGGATCGAAGCTTGTCGGCCTAGTATTCGTATAATGTGAACATGAACGGTGTAATCAAAACAGGTGATTCACTTCATTCGTCAATACTGGCTCAGTCCAAAGATGGAAGTTTGAAGAACTCACTTGACATCAACAATCTGGGGCTATGTGGACCTGCCAACAGACACTCGTCAAAAAGCGTGGCTTCTTATTTCTGGTTGGCTAAATGAGCTAAGACCTAGATGGCAAGTAAGCTGACATCAGATCACACCCATTGAGTGTCTTTTGACCCTTGTCAACAGCTCATGTGACGTAGTGACCAAAACCCCTTTAGTGTGGAAGAAAGGAAGCAAGTGATTCGACGCACACAGCGACTATTTGGTAGCTTTGTACCCATCTCAGTTCAGCCGCAATTTTGATGCGGTAGCTCGTACTCGACTGAGAACCCTTGTGTGGTAATCACCCCACCATTTGCTGCGAAGACGAGGCATTTGGCGCTGCCTGTAAAGTCGGATCAGGCTGCCGGATTGCTAGCGAGAATTTCGCTGAGTGCTCCGCCCACGCGCTCATCACACTTACCCGACGGCAAAATTATTTACATAAGAATTAAAGTACTATAGTCATCAGAATTGGCGTGAATATCTCGTCTTCTTGACTCGTTTTAGACCGCCAGCATCAGCAATCGTGTCAGCACCAGTGCTCTTGGAAACACCGCCAGGATAGAGCTATCTGGCGGAGCAAATTCCTTCATTTGTCGCTACTTCATCACCCTCTTCTCAAGTACTGTCTTCAAAGGAGCGCGCCACGATGAGGGAGCAGGAAGCATCAGATTCGCCGAGCAAGAAACTCGCCAATGGAGACAAGTCCATGGATGAGATCTGGGCAGCCGCAGCCGAGCATTTCCGGGAAATATGCGGCGAGTCGCTGAATAAGGGCGAGTTGAAGAGCTTTGAAGACGTGCAGAGGCAGATTGAGAACAGCGGCAAAGTCAATACGAGCCCGAGTCCGGAAGACAGCTGGGAGACAGCTAAGAGTGTCGGTCTTAGTTCTCTCAAGTACCTCAAAATGCTCGTGGGAGCTGCTTCACAGGCCTCTTCATTTGTGAGTCTGAGCGAGTTTGATTTTTGCCCGACTTGACCGCTGATGCAACCAGATCCCAATCCCGGCCGTGGCAAGCAATATAACAGCCAGTGCGCTCTCATTCGTGTTCGAAATCCCTCAGGCTATCAAAGGCTACAACGATGCCGTCGATCAAGTCTTTAGCGAAGTATCGTCGGCACTGTCTCAGTTCCAGATCTATCAGTCCATGGACAGCGTCGATCGCTTGCTGATCAACCAGATCAATCTGGTTCTCATACGCTTTGTTGAGGTTTGCGCTCATGTCGTCAAGCATCGCCAGGGCCGCAGACGTGACCGAGTCTTCCAACGGGTCAAGTCCATTTTCGACAGCGACACAGACTTGGCTGGTGCCATGGCGGCATTCAAAGGGGCGCTGCAGGGACAGCGCGATGTTGAAGGAACTGTCACGCTTGCGGTGGTTGTAGAAACGCAAAGGGCTGCGCAAGAGACCCACAAGGGCGTCCAGTCTCTGACAGATGACGCTGACCGCACGAAGACACTGACCAAGATTCGCGATAATCTTGGCGTGCCGTCAACTGTTCGGCTCGACACCAACACCACGCAGACAGTTACCGCCATCTCGGACAAATGTTTCAACGGCACAGGTTCGTGGATCTGGAATCATGAAGCTTACACCTCATGGACAGCATCAAACGATAAAGATGTATTGGTTGTGTCCGGTCCTGAATCGTCCGGAAAGACATCTGTCACTGCTCTCATTACCAAACGCCTCGAAGAGCAAAAGGGGCGCACCTATGTTGCCCACTACTTCTTCCCAGTCAGCACGAAGAAGACCGAAAATGACAAAAGTCCCGTACAGACAGCGCTGAAGTACATGGCTTTTCAAATTGCTCGTGTCGATGCCACGGTACGAAAAGCCTTGAACAAGGCGTGTGACGCTGGGCCTGCCGCATTCCGTCGCTCATCGAGCACCGAGAACTTGGAGAAGCTGTGGTCAGACCTCAAAATTGGAGCACCTGGATCAGGAGCTACATACTACCTGGTGTTCGATGGAATTGAGAATCTTCATCAAGATCAGTTGAAGATGCTCCTTGAGTTTGTCTTCGGTTCTCGGTCGAAAGAGAAGCCGACTCGGCGAGTGCGCATCTTGGTGAGCGGCACAGACGCCAAGCTGAAGACTGCGTACCAACCAAACTTCGACGATGCGTTGAAAATTCAAATGGAGAAGGAGAACGAGCAGGATATGCGGCTCGTCATCATTGAGTCTTTGAACAAGCAGGGTGTGCTTCCAAACGCCGGGACCAATCCGCAACAGCAAAAGGCTAGAGACAAGATTCTTGAGAAGCTTCCACAGAATGTGAACGGAAGATACTCGACATTCCAGCCTCAGCTAGACGGAGTCGTACGTCTCCTGAGCACACGTATGGCTACTGTTGAAGAGTTAGACCGTATGCTTGATCAGTCAATGAGCAGTTTCGAGGCGGCGATCAACGATCTCCAGCGGTCATTGACAGCTGATGAAATCATCGAGCTAAACGAAATGCTGAAATGGGCCTTGTACAGCCACTACTATCTTACCTTGGAACAACTTGAGTCCGCCATGGTAAGCACCCTAATGTATGCTCTTGGCTAGTATGCAGAAACTGACATCAGGTGTAATAAAGAGGCTATTTTCAGGCATAGAATCTCTCACGTCTCTCGAGTACGTTATCAAAAATAAGTACTCCGCTGTCTTGATGATCGAAGATGGTAGTGTCTTCCCTCAAGACGGTGTTGTAGAGTATTTGCAGAAGCAGAGAGAACTTTCGAACCGCTCGGCCAACTCCAAAGACCGCCCTACGATCAGCATGACCATCACTATCAACAATGTCGACCAAGAGCTTTGTGGGCACTTTCTCTGGGATCTTGCAGATATGGCGATCCGGGACAAGTTCAAATTTGATTTCAACAACTCAAACGCTCTGCACAACAGCAGTCAGCGTATGATTTCAGTGGACGAGTTTGAGGCCAACCAGACGATTGTGACTCGGGCTTTCAACTACCTGAAAGGCAATCCCCAGGAGGAGACGAAAACCATTGGAGAGTACCTCGTCTGTTGGCTTCCCTACCACCTGGGCCAACTTCGACAACTTGAAGACGAGGGCAAGGGAGAACTAACAACAAACGAAAGGGCCGAGATTGGAAGTAACCTGTATAACCTTTTCAAAGACGACGCGGTCTTCAAACGGCATAGAGCATCTCTCGGAGAGGTTTATTGGTGGGCAGACGAGATGACAGACGTTCAGAAGTGGTTAACCGATCCAACAGTCGTCCGGAAGCTCGATAAGCCATGGCGTGCCAAGATGGAGCGTGCACGATACCCCACAAGAGGATATCTCAAAGAGTTCGTTCATATGGTGGTACGAGGGTTCCTGAGAGAAAGGAGCTGGAATGTACCAAGCGCTTGCCGGTGGCTGAAAGAGTTCATGGCCGCGGTAAGTCTGCCTGGGAAATGTGGCATGAAGCCTTTGAGCATGGGTTACTGACAGGAGTATTGAACAGGACAAGGACAAGATTGAGAAGCTTCCAGATGCCCCAAACCCCGATGGAGATGACGCGAACCAAGAGGGCTCATCATCTCCATCTTCATCCGCTGGCTCTAGCGACGAGATCGACTGGGACGTTGCCAGCAAATGGTGCCAAGACATCCTCGGACTGTCAGACGCAGACCTTGATTCACTTTGGTATGAAAGACTCGCTGAGGCATCCTCTTGGGTGGGGAACAACCCCGATCAAGCTCTATCGCTTTATCAGAAAGCCGCTCAACTTGAAAACCCAAGCTGGCGGTGTTACCACGGCCTAGGCATGACGTACTATAATCGGGAGCAGTTGGAGCAGGCCATCGAACAAGTCGAGCTTGCTCTGAAGGAAGCCGAATCGGAGAAGACTACGCCAAAGCCAGATTCAAAGGAGATCGTCGGCTTGCACTTATTGCTGGGCAGGTACAACTATGAGACGCAGAAGATGGCCACTGCGGCAAAGCACTACTTGGTGGCGTCTCAAAGCGATGACACTGAACAGGCAATCGCCGGACAACTGGGACTTCTGAAGGCAAAACTCATGTCCCCAGATGTAACCGAGGCTGCACAATTGCTGAAGACCATGATTGCTGCAGAAGGCGGTGAACGTAGGATGATTGAAATCCTGAAGAAGATAGCGAGGGACTTTGAACACGACGTTCTCGCTTCAAGCATGTTCAAAACCACGAAAAGCGATCCAGAGCTTCTGAAGAAGATGGTCGACACGATGTACGCCGCCACGCAGAAGTCCACCACGCAAGAAGAACGCCATGCCGAGTCTTCTAATTTAGATGCGCAATACGAGGAAGAAGAAGCCCGAGGAGTGCTCCTCTTCGACCTTGGCCTCGCCGCGTATAGGTTCGGAATCACACTGGATGAAAAAGAGCCCGTGAGCGAAGCCCTACGTCTTTGGACTGAGAGTCGAGACCAACTCGCCAACGTGGGTGGCCGCAACGCCTACGTTGCGCGGTCTAACGCCACCTCGGCTCTTGCGAACCATTATTTCTCGAACCAAGGAAAGGGGAAAGACGAAGAAAACCTCGAAGCATTGGCCAAACTCGTTCAAGAGGAATCAAATAATTTCGACGACTCTTTAACGGCACTCCTAGCCGCACTCCATGCGTTACGTGGAGAGAAGGATAAGGCTAGATCGGTGCTCAGGCCTCGGGTAGTACAGGCTCTTCAGATACTTTCTGACGAGATGCCCGATAATGATAACTATGGCTTCTTCCTCCTCCAGCAAGTGCTGAAGAGCTATCAACAAGAAGACTTCAAGGGCGTGTTCATCGCCCATTCCTTGCGGGGCCAGCCAGATCTTGTGACGGGCGGTCTGAACTTTACAGCCGAGGATATCAAGGATGAAGTTACAGACAAAGAAAAGGTTCTCGAAGTTCTTACGGTACTAGCGAAGGGAACTACCCAGCTCGTGAGAACTCAAGTGCCAGATAGTGCGTCACAACTAGAGCGCATCCAGGCCGCCAAAGCACACATTGACTCACCTGCCCTCGCAAGTCAAGCGAACCTCGCCTCCGAAGGTGACACAAGTCATCAAGACAAGCCAACGATTCCAGACAATACTGGTTCTCCAACTAATGTTGCACATCGCCTACTCCAGTCGCGCATCTCGGACTTGCTGAAGCAGCACACACCTACGGTTGAAGTTGAGACGCAGTGGTTCTGTGATGGTTATACCTCGGAGGGCAAAAAGTGCGAGAAGAGAGGTGATTTTGAACAGGAGTTTTACCAATGCGTCTACTGCTTGGATAAGGACTTTTGCAGAGAATGCCTGGCGCGATTACGTGACCCCGAATCCGACGTGATTACAGTTTGCAGTGAAAAGCATCAGTGGCTTCGGAGACCACGACAGGGGGAGGATGTTTGTGTTGGCCCGGCAGCGAAGACTGTTCCTGTACCATTGGGTGTGGAACCAGTTGATGGTGATGCCAACGTTTTACGAGCTCGGTATGCCAAGGATGGTGGGCAGATGATCTCAGTTGAGGAGTGGAAGGAGAGTTTGGCAAGAGAATTCGAGATCCCGATGGATGAGATCAAGAGTGGTGTGGCTGCGTTGAATGCGCTGGAGGACGAAAGCAAGAGCACCACCTAAAGAGACGATGTGCATCATGTGTAGTTAGTTGGTCAGTATGACTTAAGGTAGTTGTCAAAAACATGTATCACGGTCAACACACTATCAAGTGACTATGCGTCAGCCCCTTTGAGAGCTTCTAAAGTTCTAGCATAAAATATGGTCGCAAGTGGAGTAAAAGAGGCTCGCAATTGACGAAATCAAGTGTACGTGCTTTCGCTGCCCAAGGGACCATAGCTGCTGGTTTGAGTTTGAGTAACGCGGATGACGACGACCACATCCACATCGTGGGCAGCAGATTGGCGTGGATGTGCACGGTTGAGAGAGAAGCTCCTACGTCGCCGTAACAGGTGTAAATGTCTGATGCTACCATTATATCTCATCGAGAGTCTCGGCTCTTCAACTCACCTACGCGATTTCAGGACTTGCTCTGTTGCAAATACCTTTTCTGTCATATCGATAGCTGAGGATGGAAATGAGGCTTGCAGGGAACTGAGGGGAGCGTTGTTTCAAATAGACACTGGGAACACAAGCACTTGGACTATTTCTTATTTCAACCAACTCAAGAGAAAAACGACGAGCTTCAGTGAGGGAAACTCGGCCTCCAAATAAAGGTTCTTGATTGTTCAGGTATGCTTTATGCATCAATCATCCGTCCCATGGTTGTTGCTAATCGTTCACCCCAAGTTCGATATCCACAACATCTCAAAGATAAGCGGCGGCCCTTGCTTACTTCAAACAAACGGCTGTGCGTCTAGCAAAGTTCTCAGCCCATTAACGTTAAACAGACCCCACCAACACTGGCTCCAATCGTACGAATTGCGTCAACCCAATAAATGAACCGTCCCTGAAATTTGACAGGCGCCGCATCTGCCGTGCCGATGTGCGCTCGCGTCCGGGATCCCTTCGGGTTGCCCCCAGTCCAGCCCCTTTCATCGGGCTGGGCCATCAGATGGCACATTGACAGCTGCCGCCAACAACGCTGCTGCTCCCTGTCCAAATCATTGATCCGCAACTAGGCTAGCTGTGCCGAGGCGCTGCTGAAATGAACCAAGCAATTATATGTCGGAGCAGGGTCGAAAGGGGACGGCATACCGCTGTGGAATAGTCGCTGGCTCGAAAACAAAACGATCGGCTCAGCCGCCAATCTTCGATGCATCTGTAATTTGTCGGTCGTTACTAACTTGCAAACATGATGAAAGCTCTCTTCCTTACGGCATTGGCTGCTGGCTCAGCTGGTAGGTTGCCTTATTGGACCCTCCCCTTGTATCCAGGACTACGACCCCTAACCAACATCTGTTTCCACAGCCGCGGCGAACCTCAAGTACCATGGAATCGACTGGTCGTCCACCATCGTGGAGGAGCGTGACAAGGGCGTCACCTACAAGAACGCCCAAGGCGTCGCGAAACCCCTGGAGGAGATTCTCGTTGACGCCGGCGTGAACATGGTCCGCCAGCGAGTCTGGACCGTCGAAGGCGACTACGGCATCTCGTACAACCTCGAGCTCGCCAAGAGGGCCAACGCATCGGGGCTCATGTTCGGCCTCAACCTGCACTACAGCGACGGCTTCACGAACCCGGGTCTCCAGGACATCCCGACCGGCTGGCCCACGGCCATTGACGCCCTCGAGGCCCAGGTCACCAACTACACCGCCGAGGTGTGCGCGGCGTTCGCCGCCGCCGGGCTCTACCCCGAGATGATCACCATCGGCAACGAGATTGACGGAGGTATCCTCTGGCCCACGGGAAAGTACGATCAGCCCGAGAACCTTGCTCGCCTGCTGCACGCTGGCTCGGCCGCCATTCGCGCCTCTGCCCTGGGTCCGACTACGAAGATTGTCACTCACCTTGCCCACGGCTACGACGCCGACCTGCAGGACTGGTACTACGACATGCTCGTCAAGACTGGCAAGTTCACCACCGCCGACTGGGACGTCATCGCGGTGTCCTTCTACCCCTTCTGGAGCTCGAAGGCGACATTCTCTGCCCTCGAGACAGCTCTCAGTGGCCTCGCGACGCAGTACAGCAAGGAGGTTCAGGTCGTTGAGACGAACTGGCCGACCAAGTGCACGTCGCCCGATTACACGTTCCCCTCGGACCAGCTTAGCATCCCGCTGAGCACGGCAGGCCAGACTGAGTACATCACCATGGTTGCAGATACCCTCAAGAAGATTCCCTCTGCAACCGGTCTAAATTACTGGGAGGCTGCGTGGATTTCCAACGCCGTCCTGGGTTCCTCTTGCGAGAGCAACGTCATGTTTGATGGTACTGGAAAGGCTTACGATAGTCTTGCTGTCTTTGGCACCATTTGAGATGGTCTTGTAGTGTTATTCCTCTTCGATAGAGCACTATCGCGTATTCATGTACATATTTCTCCGAGGTAATCCTGTTCATCCGGTAGAGATCAATTGCTTCAGTACATAAATTAGACTTGATCGCACTGTTGAATGCACTCTATCTTAGGTGGTTTACTGGAGGAATTCAGCGAGCATCAAATCTCACGCAATGATGGAGCTTGTAAGATGATTTCTCCCGGCACGACAAAGAACGTCCCGTGAAATTTCATTACCGACACGGAGCAGATCGAGACCCTGTTTGCTCCAAAAAAGTCAAATCATTGAATCTTATCTTCAGAATCATGTGATGCTTTATTGTATAGAAAGATGAATTATATAGTCTCCACTTTCCTTGACACGCCTGTGAGGAATAACTTCTCTAATCCGCCCAGAAAGTATGTACATAGAATAGAAATTACGACCCGGAAGGCCTAGGTAGCGCAGTTCGCTGCTTAAACACCAACGCAGACGTAGGTCTTGGCCCACATGTTTTGACAGGTCGCGCCCACGCCCGTGTTCCACTTGACGAAGTTGGCGAGAGTGATGCCGTTGTAGCTGATGATCTGGTCGCACGTGTTGCCCTCGGACACATAGTGGAACTTCTTGCAGTTGGTCACCATTCCCGGCTGTGTAGGCTGGGGCGTAGTCACGCCGTTGCCGGGGGCCGTGGTGGTGACCGGAGGCTTCGTCGTGGTGGTCGGCGGTGTGGTGGCGCCCCCAATGACGCCGACGCACACGTTCACCTCGGCCCACATGCCGCTGCAGTCGGCGCCCACGCCCGTATTCCACTTGGCGAAGTCGGCGAGGCTGATGCCGTTGTAGCTGAGGACCTGGCTGCAGGTGACGCCCTGGGCAATCCAGTGGAACTTGTTGCAGTTGGTCACCATGCCCGGCTGCGTCGGCTGCGGCGTCTGAATGCCGTTGCCCGGGGTGGTGGTGGTAGTCACGGGTTTACTGGTGGTTGTCGGCGGCGTCGTGGACGTGGTTCCGCCGATGACGCCGACGCAGACGTTGACTTCGGCCCACATGCCCGTACATTCGGCGCCGACGTTGGGGTTCCACTTGGCAAAGTCGGCGAGACTGATGTTCGCGTCGCTGAGGACCTTGCTGCAGGTGACCCCAGACGCGACAAAGTAGAACTTGTTGCAGTTGGACACCATGCCAGGCTGGATCGGTGTAGGAGTGGTCACGCCATTCCCGGGAGTCGTTGTGGTGGTGGAAGCTCTGGTGGTGGTTGTCAACGTCGTAGGAACACCGGGAGCGGTAGTGGAAGGGGGCGCGGGCGCCGCTCCCCAATTTTGCTCGATGCAGTACGAGTTGCCAGTGATGAAGGTACAGGAGGCAGACAAGATGGGGTTCTGGTGAGGATGAGTGTTAGCAATCGTCAAATAGCATTGATTTCCAGAAGTTCAACTTGGCTTGATCGACATGATTCTATCTCGATACATGATGCTATATTGTAGAGAGTAGACTTACGTATGCAACAAGCTGAGCCTGAGTGATGCCGTACGTGGCAGTCACTCGCTCGCAGGTATCAGATGCGCCAGCGACAAACCACCAGGTGCAGTCCGTGATGGTGCCTGGGTCCGCGGTCGAGGGTGGTGGCTCGGCCCACTGAGCGACAACGCCGAGGCACAGGAGCTGCGCAACAAGGCTTGACTGGAGCATGAACTTCATCTTGGAAACAGGAAGTTTGCTGTCTGGTACGAGTTTGCTCAGTCAAGTCTACTTGATCGTTAGGCTGATGACAAGGGGAAGCTCAATGGATGTAAGATAGACCATGATACGACATATAAATATACAACATCATGATAGTAAACTGATTCGGTTCGTCTTTTTCAACCAAAGTTCCCAAAGTCTGGACACCCATGCAAGACTCGATTCAGCGAACGTGACATAATTGCGGTCAATCCTGTGAGGCTCGTACCGCATAGAACTAAACGAACCCGACCAAGACTGCAATTTCCGACTCCTCTCCGGCCAAGGCACAATGCTGACTTCATCTCCGCAACGGCGTGAGATTTCTGTATCTAGCCAGTAAGCGTTGTATTAGGAGCCACAACTTCTAGACAGTTGGTCTATAGGATTCTTGCCTACATGCATATATTGGTGGCGACTCAGGGCAGCCGAGGGTCGTCCCGAGGCGAGTTCAGGCTGAAAAGATATTTTGTTCAATACGTTGCATTGCCAAGATAGACTATTTTGGTGGCCATGCGAGGGGTGCTTACGGTCGCATTAGGCTTCCTCTGCCAAGAGACAGGGATTCCTGCACGTAACCGAGGGACCCATCGAACCTGATGAATCTTGGAGTCTCTGGAATGAAGGAAAATCAGACGTAACTAAGAGACTCTCAATGTATCAACTGATACGGGCCGGAAACGAGCGATAAGACTGCCGAATAGGGTACATTTCACATGCACCAAGTGGGCTCGAATCAAGGTCTTTGAATATCTCATACCAGATTCAAGATCACGGAAAGCAGATTCTAACAGATTCAAGGCCAAAGACATATTGATTACACAGATCTATGAATATGAAGCTAACGATTGACGTAAAATGTAAACAGAAACGGTGTTATGCGGGAGGACCACCTCTTTTCTGCCAAGTAGTAGAAAGTATAATAGCACCAAAGGCCAGAAGAAAGCTGCCCTAATCCACCTCATGTGATCCAGTTCAGGCAGTCTG